GGTCCCTTTGAATGAACATAGCACTCGGTAGGGAACAATTCAATGGAGAGAGGCTTTGGTTCAGGACCCAGCACATATTGTTCATTTTAAGAACACTTTCACTGCAGATTTCAAAAAATGCAAAGAAGATACCAATGTGAGATTTCCAAAGATAGCTACAGCACTTGATCCAAAGTTTAAGAATCTGAAGTGCCTTCCAAAATCTGAGAGGGACGAGGTGTGGAGCATGCTTTCAGAAGCCTTAAAAGAGCAACACTGTGATGTGGAAACTACAGAACCCGAACCACCAAAAAAGAAAATCAACCTTCTGCTGGTGGCATCTGACTCAGATAATGCAAATGAACATGTCTGTCCACACTGCTTTGGATTGTTATTGAGCAGAACCCATCATCAGCATGGATGCATGTCTCCTAAACTGATGGTTGAAGCATGAAGGGACATATGAATCTTTAGCGCATCTGGCACGTAAATATCTTGTGACGCCAGCTACAACAGTACCATGAGAACGCTGGTTCTCACTTTTGGGCGACATTGTAAACAAGAAGCGGGCAGCTTCTGAAATGTAAACTCCTGCAAATGTAAACAAACATTTTTGTCTGAGCAATTGGCTGAACAGGACTGAGTGGACTTGCAGGTTTTAAAATTTTACATTGTTTTATTTTTGAATGCAGTTTTTTTTGTACATAATTCTACATTTGTAAGTTCAACTTTCATGATAGAGACTGCACTACAGTACTTGTATTAGGTGAATTGAAAAATACTATTTCTTTTATTTTTTTACAGTGCAAATACTTGTAATCAAAAATAAATATAAAGTGAGCATTGTACATTTTGTATTCTGTGTTGTAATTGAAATCAATATATTTGAAAATGTAGAAAACATCCAAAAATATTTAAATAAATTGTATTCTGTTATTGTTTAACAGTGCGATTAATTACGCAATTAATCACGATTAATTCTTTTAATCGCACAATTAATTGTGATTAATTTTTTTAATTGCTTGACAGCCCTAGTGGAAACAAAACAAAATTTCTGTCAACTTTTGATTCACCTGAAGTTTTCATCAGTTTTGGTTTAGCTTGAACTGAATCCTTTTTCTTTGAACTGCCAGCAAAACAAAAAATCAGTTATTCACCCAGCTTTACTATAAAGTAAGACAACTTCATTCAGATATAAACCCGTAAGCTAATATGTTCATTTTTCAAAACTGGAAAGTTTACCCAGTCACAATGTTAAATTTTAACTAACTTTTTACAACAAATATTAAGAGATTTTAAATCTCTGTAGTAGATTAATAGATTAATGGAAGAAAATTTAACTTCTGTTTTAGTTTTGAAAAATTGGATTGCGGCTGATTCATCAGCCAATGAGAAACTAATTTATAAATGAAAACACTGGCCCAGATCCTCCGCTACCATAACTCAGTTTAGCTCCACCGATGTCAACGGAGCCATCTCTGTTTACACCACTTGATGATCTGGCCCATTAGGTTTTTTTGCACAAAACTCTGCTATATGTGCTCTATGTTTTAATCCTGAACATAGTTCTTAAAGTTTAAAAATGTTACTTCACCGGTTGTAGTAAGATGGTTCCAGATAAGCTGAGGTTTCATTTGCACTAGTACGTAAGAGTATAATCCAGAATATTGGTTGTCTTTATTACGTGGATTCCCACTGTCTTTATTTCTTTTCTAAACTTCAACAGATAATGCCACTATGTTGCAAGTCATAGAAATGAACATTTCTCTGATCTTAACCATATTTTAGCTAACTATAGATATGTGATAGAGGTGTCTTGGTTTTGATTTTGAGGGGTTTTTTTTGTTAATGCTAGCAAATTACTACTAAACACTCACTTTTTGTGGTTATCATGCAGTTAATTTTTTAAAGTTCATTCTAAGCTGCTGAAACAAACTTAAAAAAAATGTAAAAAAGCATTCACAGTAATTGAAAACCACCTAAACTGCTATATTTTCTCTAGCAGATATTTTGATATTTTCCCCCAATGGAAAAGTAATGTATGTTGACCCTCCAATATATCTCACAGTATTAGCAATATAGATATATAAAAGGTGACATTAAAAACCCGAGGAACAAAGTATGTTCATGTTGCTAGCACTTGGGTCCCCAATTCAGCAAAGTCCTTACTATTTGCTTAAGACCACCTTTATTCAGCAAAGCACATAGGCATGTCCTTAAGTGCTTTGCTGAAGTCCCAATGACTTCAGTGGGACATAAGCACGTGTTTAAAGTTAAGCACTTGCTTAAATTATTTTATTTACATTTTAAGCAACGGTAAAAAAGACCTGTAGAAGAGTTCTAGGCACCCTGACAATTAATCTTCCAATAGTTAAACAGGAGCAAATTGACTAAATTCAACCAGTGTATCAGCTACCAAAAAACATCTGTATCTTCTCTGGGTACATATGCTCAACTTTCTGTAAAAACCCTAGCAAATAAATGGCTGTTGTAGCATGCTTTGCTCAGTCAGAATTTGATCGTTCAGGTGCCTAGTAAGTATTAAGCACATGCCTAAGTGCTTTGCTGAATTGGGAACTAGGGCACTGATCATGGGACTGTTGTACCTATGTTGAGCCCCA